ACAGTAAATAAATAATATAAAAAATTGGGCTTCAAGCTACACAACTTGAGTGCAGGACTACGTGTGTTCAAAATTTGGTGGCTCTAGGTGATGCTGTTTTCCCACAATATGAGGAACATATATATGCACATACAAATTCAACAATAAAAGAAACAAAGACAATGCCATTCTAAATAAAACAAAATATATTATGCCCCAAAGAAGAAAATATATACAGAATTCTAATAAAAATCCAGAGACTACTTAAAATAAAAAATTATTACTAAATTTTTTTTGCTAGTCCAGCTGATAAAGAAAAACTTGCATATACTAGATTCTCCTCCCTTGGCAAGTAAATTTTCATTAATGTAATGCTGATAAAGGAAAATATTAAATTACAAAAATATCTACAAATGATAACAGCTTAGTCAATAACATTCCACATAAAAAAAGATTTTATAATACAAAATGCTATTAAATTTATAATTGTTTTTCATAACATCAGAAACACATTATTTAAAAAAAAATCCTTCCCTGAAATTATACAATTAAGAAATTGGCCATAAACAGGAGGGGGGAAAAGCGTACATTTAAACAGCCCCAACCTACAAAAGATTTTTAGTTTCATAAAATTGGCATGGAGTTTAAAATGTCATTTGATCAATGCTAGTTATCAGAATTAAGAGGGGGGTGATGGCTTGTGAATTAAGAATACTATTGCAACATTGAAGACTTTACATGTAATAGAGTTTGCACACATTTCTTTAAATGAGAATTTATGACTTTTAAAGACCATCAATGAAAACATTTAAGAACTATCAGCAAATACAATGAATAAATAAAAGAAATTACCTGTGCCACCACCTTCTCTCTTGTAATATTAATTTAAGAACAAAACAGAAGTATGCACTATGCATCATTATTAATAAACATAATCAAATAACAAGTTTAAGAAAACTCAAGTTTGAGTATAAAACCAACTCTCTAAAAGTTTTCAAGCAGTTAAAGTTACATGAGAAAAAAAAAAAAAAAAAAAAAAAAAAAAAAATTACACTCATAATACAAGGTGGGAAAAAGAAACAACTATAAAACAGTACTTGCACTTAATTCTCTTAAGTGTAATGAAAGGTGGCCAGTTGGGATTTTAAGGTCAATGCTGGTATTAACCTTCACTAGAATGAAATACACAAAATTTTAATGCCTATTCTTTTGGTGCACGTGGAAAGAAGTGAAAGACGGTGCTTCTAATCTTAATTTCAAAGACTAGTTGGGTAACACTTTTGTATGTAAAAGGTGGAATATGACACTGAGAAGGCATATGATAGATTGTGACAGGCAATGTACAACTGGGAAAATAGAAGCATGACAGACATTGAAACATATCTACATGGACTTAAGAGTAGCCCAAAGCATCATATCAAAAATCTGAAAATGGTTTAGACACTGCTGATGTAGACAGACAAACAAATCATGGTCAAAAACATGTCACAAATGGACTGGTTGTTTAGGACTGTTATTTGGCAACAATTTCTAAAAGAAATAAACTATGACATTAGCTAAAACTGCAAGGGGAGTTGAATTTGCTGGAGCTAACTATCCAAATAAAACAAGAGTGACAGGTTGCATGAAATAGGGCTGTACACAATGTAATTCATGATCTATATTCCACTAACTTGGGCAGCAAAATATGTCTGGTCACAGTGGTACAGAGATCATTATGACTGGAATACAGAGACTAGACATGAATTTTATTTACAAGTAATAACTCTCACTTTTGTCTGGACAAATTCCAGATATATTTATTACAATTTGGAGGGAGCAAAATACATGCAATAAGCTTGAAAACAACCCTGCAAGGAATCAGTTCAGAGGTGGTGGAATCATAATATAGACGGGCATTGTTGTAAAAGGCTACACAAACCTATATGTTCTTTCCATATGATCATGAATGCCGAAATATATAAAGATGAGGCTTTATATCCTTATATCAAATTGTTTAGGGGCACAATCATTGCTAATTTTCTTTTAATGAATGATAATGCTTACACCCATCACGCTGCCCTAATGACCAATTTCCTTGAGAGCAAAGGATTCCAGCAGATGGACTGCTCTGCATATTCTTCAGATTTAAATTGTAGAGAACACATAAAAAATACACTAGGATATAGACTTGCATCACTGTACTCCCCTTCTAGCATTCTTCTGGAGTTTCTAGGCTTATTGCAAATAAGCTTTGTTATCGCAGGAAATCAGGGACAATCTAATGCACAGCATAGAAAATGACTGTAATGTTGCATTCAGTCAAGAATGACCTTGCATCTTATTTCTGTTTTAAACTGTTTAATCTCTAAAAAGTTACACCAACTTTTTTCTGCTCACTTTATATCATATTTTCTTATGTTTTACCTCATTGGAAGAGAAGATGCCTATGTAAAATTAAAAAATTAGGCAAAAATGTAACCTAAATTTAGTGTAGATGTTTTCAGTTTTTTTTTTTTTAAACTTCTGAAGAAGAGAGGTCTGTGTCTAATCGCCTTCAAAATAAATACAGTTATTGAAAATCTACACCAAACTAAGGTTGTTTTCTTGCCTAATTTTAAATGATTGACAAAAACTGAAACCAAGCTATTTGGTGACATTTTTTTCTGGGGGGGGGGAACTTTCTTGTCACTTGACAAATTTTATAACCAATTTTGAACTTATTTACTGACTTCTGTTTAAAAAAGTTATTTTGTAATATTTCGATCATATTACCTGAACTGTTAAACACAAAAAATAATGTATTTTATGTTTTCGAGTATATGTGCTATTATATAACAATATCTAAATGATAATATTAACCCCGATCATATAAGCAATGTCTATTGTATGGGAAAAAGATTGTTTTTTGCTTAAGAGAATGAATTTATATGGTTACTGAATTTCTTAATTACATTTAAATACAAAATTGGCAACAATTTCAGTACCTTTAGAAAAAATGCAAAACTTCTTAAAAATTAATGCTGTGCATGATTTTTAGAAGCTATAATGTGATTGAAAAATTTTCTCACCAACCAGACATCATCAGTGAGCTTTCTTGATATTATTTAATTGATTTCTTTTTAATGAATGGTCATTTTTTTCCTCCATAGGAATGTTCTATATTGAATTGGCAATGCAGTGCTCATGAAGCAATTTTAAAGTGCTCACAGTTCAAATATCTAAATTCTAAATTTTAGATATGTGAATAATGATAATTTGTAATTGTAATAAACAATTTTAGTAAAAATTATTATTCTATCTTAGCCCTTTTAACTATAGTATGAAATGTACAATTAAACTTTTGACAAAAACTATACCTTAGTGACATCCAGATTGTATCAATTCATATAATTAATACCCATTTGTATTATACATAAATAAAACTGTAGCTTCTAAAATTACTGAATATCTGTAGATTTTCATCTTTATGTAGTAAAACAAAGTGATGTATATGAAAAATAACAAACTGTTAAAATTAAAGAGATGTATTAGCTGCTAAATTTTCATCTGCATTTTATTTAAAGTTGGTATGAATTTTAAATGTGGCATGTGATAATTTTTTGAAATGAACCAGCTAACAGTCATCAATACATTTTGATGCAAAGCAGTGTAGCAGAGTATAAAAATCTATTTTTTTTTTTTTTTTTTACTTTCTATTTTTATTACACTTGGTCCACAGTAAAAGTATTTATGTTAAATATATTTTGTATCATTGTATTTTTTCTATTTCAATTATTTCTCTACAGATTCATAATTATTAATGAAAACAAGCCATCTCTTTCTGGATGATGCCTGCCACCACCAGCCCTGGCTACATTATACTGAAAGGATATACAAAAAAAGTCTTCAAACTTTTCAAAATACCTCTATTACATTTTATTAAAATAACTCTAAATTCTTAATTAAATTTAGTTTAAAAAACATATTGAATAAGCAGGATCTGCCATAAGATCCGATGAAAAATATAAGCAGGATCTGATCTTGAGAAGATATTTAAGAACACACTATTCCATATTTACTTGTATCTTCGCAATTCTTTTTTCACAATTTTAATGTATGAAAATAGAGAAGGAAAAATTCAGTGAAGAAATTAATTTCTGAAGGACACAATTACAGAAAGAACCTAACAACTGAAAAGTGTTCATGGATAAACTAGCAATAACTACTGCAATGTTACCTATTTAAGAAACCAGCACTGCAATAAGAATAACAACATTGCATTATCTAATCACATATCTTCATTTCTGCTTCCCTGTATCTTAAATCTGACCCACTCTTATTGTTGTCACTGTTAGGCCTCAATTCATTTAAATTTTATCTGTATTGTCTGCTATAGCCCTCAAGTCATCACCAATGTCTTTTCAATGTTGAGTATGCCTTTTTTTCTAGGAACGATTTTTAGAACAATCAAGAACATTAGATATCTCTGCTTTCTTGAAGCTTTCCAGTAAAACTGTTTCAAAATCAGAGCCCATGCACCCAAAATTCGTGAGCGAATCAATTAGTTTGACAAAAACAATAACTATGTGGATGAACCTATTTTAAACTTTAGGGAAGCTTTTAATTTTCTGAAAGCCTTGAGAAGTGGAAAAATACATGAATATTTAGAAAATGTTCAGAACCTTGGGGGGGGGAGGCAATACACATGTAAATACAGCATTTCAATATCCGTATACCATAGCCTCCCTTTAGATTAAAAAAAAATCAAATGAAAACAAAAGGAACAATCAACTTTGTACATCAGATTTTAAGAATAATGATTTTCATGTCATCACTGTAGATGAACATGAACTTTAAATTTCTACACTGCCAGCAAGTATATTGAATTATTTGGCTTTAGATTTTCTAATCATTAATTGCACTTCCTTTTGTCTTTTCATGAAAATTTTATAACAATAAAGGAATTACTATCACATAGATTATTTTCTTATAATGAATACCAAATGTATATTAACATTTTATTACAAAATGATTTGATAGATAAAAGAAATTGAGCTTACCAGCAACTACAATTGTTTCTTTTGGTGCTACAACTCCACTGTTTGGTCTCACACAATAAGTTTTTGGTGCAGTAGTCTTGACTTTGAAACATATTTGTTTATCAGTGGGATTAGTCAAACTTAAGAATGAAGTGGTCACATCCGTAAAGGGAGCTAAAATACATGAAACTGGTATCATATTCAGTACATTAAAAATTTTCCTTGAGACATAAATTCATCACTGCTTTAATTCTCCATGCAGCCAAAAGCCACGAGCAAATGGTATTGTCTTGATTATAGTTAAAAAATGTCCCTTCTCCTTAGTACCGATTCTTTATTTTCCAAACTTTATTCTAGTTTAATTATCTACGCAAATTTTAAGATGTGTACTTAAAAAGGTGTCATGATAACTATTGCTGCATGTGTACGTGTTCATAATAGATTGAATGCACAAGTCCGATAAAAGGTTAATAAAATTTAATCTTATCAAAAGAAATATAACAGAACGCTGGAATTTTCCTCAGAGATATTCATAACAATATAATCAGTAGTTATACTTTAAACTACTAAAAACATGAAAATACTATGCGATGCAAAGAGAAAGCTAATCCGATCTCACTCTAAACTTGTAACAATAATAACAGCAGCTAACTAAAAACTGGGATGTCTCTCTCCAGCTTTAAATAGCTTATAACAGGTCGTGTGTGATCTTTCTAGTTATTTCTGCTTCTTGAGATGTCTGGAAAGCAGAAAAAATGGAATTATGGTTACAGCTAACATAGCGTTCAATTACATTTACTAAAATTAAATACAAATTATCGAAATAAACTTTTATTTAATGTTAAATGCACATGATCCTGAATTTTCACTTTCAGATCACACACAGATTTCTCTTAAAACTCGTCTGGCACTGCACTGCACAGGGAAATAAAATAATTTTAATTATAATTTTACTAACATTAGCTATCTAAGTACAAAATTCGTAACAATATTTTTAAATGCAAACATACGGAATGGCCACTTGGAAAGTTAAAACACACTAAAAATTAAAAACTAAAACATATGAACAAAATTCAAAATAATGAAACCATAAAATGGCTCATTTTTAGTCTGTATGTATCTTATCTGTATAAGCTATTTAAGGCTGCTTGAAATAATAATACACATAATAAATTGTATTTGTGAAAAACAGGCAGTGTAGAAAAGATGTTAGAATGCAAACCAGTTGGCGGTGTTCAGTAAAATTCAAGAAAATGCCTTCAGAAGTGTTGTCAACCTGCACTGCTGGGAATATAAAAAAGTATATTTAGCAAGAAGTGACTGACATTGGCAAAGCTGTCCATCACATGACAATTTCTTTCATTTCTAGAGATGGCAGTACCTTACAATCTTCATTTCTATTATAATGGCCACCTTGACAATAAGGCAATAGCAATACTGAATTATAGCCGATTTATCGTGCGAGTGTGATGTTATCAGCTCTGCTGAAATATTGGCTTTATTTGCACTTGACCTAGCTAGAATTGTGGCATAATAAGCATGGTGTACAAGACAAGTAATTAAAGTGCCTCTCATGGGAAGCAGATGAGACAGTGATTAGTATATCTGGGAACATAATTTTCTGAAAATATAACATTATCCTGACAATCACGTTCTCAATGAAAATTACCTTCACAGATGGGCAAAATTATCTGAAACCATGAGTGGTCTGCTGAGGGCGGATTCACTGTAATTATAGGAAATTACAATAATTTACATGTTTGAGGAAGCATACTTACATAGAAACGTACACATGAGAAAAATACCAAAATACATTTTAACAAACTTATTTCTCAATCACGAATTAAACTGAATATAAAACATTTTTCATTGGTTGTTTGTTCTCTTAACTGTGTAGTATATGTTATGTAAAAACAAGTAAAGAATGCCTAAAATCATCAGTATAAATGCCAACATCTTAAATGAAATTTTAAATAAATAAATAAATAAATAAAATTATATATAAAAAAATCAACATAATGTAAATGCATGAGCAGCAGTCATTTCATAGCTATAGTAGCAACACTTACTATCCCATATAATACTCACACATAACTTGAAGTTGACACTTCAACCAAATTAAGATATATTTAAAGTCAGCATAAAGTTTTAAGATATAAAGATAAAATCATGAAATCACAGATAAGAATTATTAGTTAGAATTTTAGAGCAACTTTTCAGAGATTTTAATAATGAACAACAATAATAATAAAAAATCTAAATAAAAACTTGTTTTGCATATATTCCATGCTTTTCAAATTTTAATTATTTAATGAAAAATAATCAAACTAGATAAAAAACTTCTATTTTAGGTTATGTTTTAAAAAATATAATAGATAAATATCACTAAAAACATTACATGGAAGAAATTCATATATACTATGCATTAAACTGCCTAAGCATGAATCTATAAATTGTTTCAACTCAATTTTATCTTTGCATATACAGAGGCACTCTTAAAATCCTTTCCAACTGTAAAAAAAAATATGGAGGAATTTTAACTTGTTACATTAATTGTTTTACAGCAAATTTATGTTGTACTTGCATATCGGTGGAACCACCTCAGCACAATTTAGCAATTTTTTTCAGAAATAAAGGTGATTTGATTAATTTTTGGACTTCAACTTAAAATAGATACAGTTACCTAAAGAACTGTTATGCGCATGGTTGGCGAATTCTACTAAGTTGGTTGCGATAATATTTAAGTACCACTGTTAATGCTAAAATTTATATTTTTTATGCTATTATGAGTCTTAAAAATATATGGCATTTCAAACATATTAGAATAAAAAATTTACCATGTTAAACAATATCTGAGAGATATCTTGACATAATATGCCATAAAACTTACAAACAATAAGACAAAAACTCTACATTATGTTGAGAGGATTTTAACAACAGTTACACAATAAATGCAATAATATTCCCCACTTTGGATAGCCATATGATTTAAAAAATATTTAATACATGAAAATAACAAATCTTTCTATTTAATTACGCTGATAGAGCTTTTGGTTCAGATGTCTTGTTACATATTATATGATGTAATATCAACTATTACTACAAACCAGGGCTGACAAGTTTCTTTTACAATGGGGGGGGGGAAGGTCAGGAAATTCGTTTCTTCCACTAAATTGGAAGAAACTAGTTTTTGAACAAATTTCATGTTTATATTATCTATCATTATTTATTTATCTGCATTACCAATTTAAATATTTTTACTTTCTATACAATTTAAGCATCACCATCTGTACATTTACAATAGCATCTTTCTGTGATACTATATATGTACACTGCGGGGAGGGAAAAAAAAAGGAGACAGTTATATATCTCCTGTTCTACTGGGCCGACTGATGAAATTCAACTTGTGTTTTTCATGTCTCGAAAGCATGAATTAGGATATATACAGTCAAAAGTTGTTAATTCGGACACCCATAATCCGGACCTCAAAGCTAAAAACTTTCTGCGCATGCGCTGCGTCGACACATGCGCATAGGCGTTTAAGCGTGTGCGTAAGACCTTTTACGACTACACATATGCGTGTGCGCAAGTGCTGAATACGTTTTCGCGTGCACGTTTTATGTATAACGGCCAGTATAAGCTAAAATTATCTAATTATCTATTTCAGTTAATGTTGATGATTGCGTTGTTCCTTAATCTTCGAATCGGATCCGGCTTATTATTTTTTGCAGACTGTAAGAGCAATACTATAAAAGTAAACTTGAACTTTCGATTATGTCAAATAGAATTTCCGATTCTGGAGCTCCCATAAGGATCGTACAAAATGAAAGTATGTTTCGATGTCCATCAAACAAAAAGTGGAATTGCTGCAAAAAATGGATAAAGACACGAAGAAGGTGACAGAGAGGTTAGTGAAAACGAAAAAATTTCGATTGACAAGTTAGTCCGTATTCTCGGCACAGTAATTAACAGGACTTGAACAGCGGAACTTTGTAACTGAACAAGAAATTATGTCTGTTCATAGAATTAAAGAGAAAGTATTATCACATAAAACGAAGCAACTTAAACAACTTACGTTGAAAGAAATGTTTAATGAAGTAAACAAATAAATATTACGCTTTTTTTTTTTTTTTGTTGTAAATTTTGATACCCTTTAAATCATAATTGTTCTTTATTTCATAAATTACGGTTTCATATTTTTTATTTTAGAATTTCTGCATGCCATCTTAAGAGATTTAAACTGATGATCTATAATCCGGAATTGCCGAAGTCCCGACGAGTTGGGATTAACGACTTTTGACTGTATTAGATTTATGTATAGCATTATTCTAACATAGATATTTTGACACAAAATTGGACTTTTTTTTAAATAACATGCCAATTTTTTTCCATATTTCGATTCTACGACTCAAATTATGCCAAACTGCCAAGTTTTGTAAAAATCGCACAAGTAGTTTTAAAAAGTTAGCTATCAAAGTTTTAGCTCCTTTATATTAACTGAAATGGATATATATTTATTAATATTTCTTTTTTTTTTAAAGCAAACTTACTTGATTCCTTCTTCCAGAATTCAAAATTTAGGCTTAATCTAAATATAATTCATTTTCATTTTTTTAATTTATTTTAAAATTTGTAATTTTAAATACTTTTTATAAATTTTTTGAAAAAATTTTTGTATTATAAGCTGTAAAATTTTTAACATCCTCTTAAAAGTAGATTTATTTTTAGGCACACCTGGAAAAAATTAAGAGTTTTTTATTTAAAATTTTCCGAGATATACATAAAATTACATATTGGTGTATTTTGATATTTGGCATTTTTTTTTTTTTTTTTAGTGATAATAATGCCAAGTGTGGTTTATGCACTTTGTTAAAATTATTTGAAAGTATAAAAGATGACGTTTTTCCCGCTTGTCTGCAATGCAAAACAGGAAAGTAAAATTAGGCTGCTATAAATTAAGAAGTTTGTCAAGTAAATTATTCTTGGCACAAACTGAAAAAAAAAAAAAAAAAAAAAAAAAAAAAAAAATACGGCAAGATAAATTTTTGAATTTTTCCGTAAATTTTGAAAGAAATTTTACAAAATTTAATATTCAGGCAAAATTAGAGCAGTAAAATCGAAATATGGAAACAAATTGGCATGTCATTTCAGAAAAAGTCCGATTTTAAGTCAAA